TATTGTATTGTATTAAATCCCCCGGGAATCTTTTCAACTGAAGAAATGGAAGTAAAAACAATGTTAATGCATAAGTGCTTAGTAGCGGTGTAGATTGTTCCAGTTGTTGGGCAGTTATTCTTCATTTTGATTGACCCAATTCCATGTAAGCCTTTTCCCCCCCTCTGACTGTAGATCTGCACACTCCTGAAGTGTAACAACACAGATCCTAAGTCATGTGGCCAGCGAGTTGATACTGCTGCTACCAGGTTCAACTTCTTTTCCCTCAGTGGCTCATTTAACACTAATTATGTGTTTCCTGAAGTGCTACTCAGCGGGACCCAACTGGCTCCTGGAGAATTTAAGGTAAGATTCAAACTTCAGCAAGCATATTGGCTTCTTGTGATATTTTTAGGTTAAGAAATAAGCTGCTTGAAAAATACATACACACAATGATGGGATTCAGCCAGTTCGCACCACTTCGGGAGAACCAGTTGTTAAGTTTCTGAGCAGTTTGGTGAACTGGTTGTTGGAAGAAATCATTAGGGCAGAGAAGCGGTTGTTAAATTATTTGAATCCCACTACTGCATACACAGTTACAAGAATGGTGTTGTGATTATGTTAAAAGCATAGCTGCAATTTCACTAGTCTCTATGGAACAGAACAGAGTTGGGAGGTCTTCTAGTCCAACCCCCTGCTCAGGCAGGAAACCCTATACCTGTGATGGCGAAACTATAGCACACATGGCAGAGGTGGCATGCAGAGCCCTCTCTACTGGCCATCGCCCCAGGTCAGATCTCTGTGGTGTTTCTTTTGTGAGCTTCTGTTTCCCTGCAAACGACAAAAGAGAAGTTCATGAAAGAAAAAGACCTTACCCCTTGCTGCACTGCCTGTGTTGGGATGGCCTGCTTCCCGCTGCCCAGCTGGTCTTTGGGTCTCTGCTGTGCATGAGTGCAAGTCCATGGATGTCCACGCATGTCCAAGCAGGCACATGCAGGCACACATTCATGCATGTCCACACATGCACGTGTTCACATACCTGCACATCTTTTAGTTTGAGCATGTGCATGTGCGCACTTTGGCTACTCAGTGTCTAAAAGGTTCGCCATCACTGCCCTATACCAGTTCAGACAAATGGTTGTGCAATCTCTTCTTAAAAACCTCCAGTGTCAGCACCACAACTTCCGGAGGCAAGTTGTTCCATGGATTAATTGTTCTAACCGTCAGGAAATTCTTCTTAGTTCTAGGTGCTTCTCTCCTTGATTAGTTTCCACCCATTGCTTCTTGGCAACCATTTTGTTTTAGTATCATTAGTTGACAAATCTGCCATGTGATTCATCTAATATACTATTTTCCCTCAGTGAAGAAGACTTGCACCCATTATATCCAGCAAGTAACCACTGGAAAACCAGTAGTGTGTTATGACCTAGATTGCCTAGGCAGTGGCAGACTTCAAAAGAGTCATTTATTGCTTTGTTAAATTCCACAGCAAACCACCCTATAAATTCCACCCCAAACTTCCCTGAAGGCAGCCACAAACAAAAGCCAGCAAACAACAAAACCAATTCACAAAGGCAAAGAGGAAGTCCAAAGATAAGCTGCAAGTTCATGGGACAAGGTCCAGAGTCAAGGTCCACAGGGCAAGTCAAGTCAACAAGGCAAGACTCTGGCAGAAACATGAGTCAAGATTGAGTTTTTCCAAGTCTGGGGGAGTGCATGCCAAAGCAAACAATTGTTCCCGACAAAGACAATCTCCCCCTGGCATCTGCTTAAGTCAACCCTAGCCAGGTATTCCTTGAGAGGAGGGGCAGGGAGACCTTTTCTGGAGCAGCTTGCAAACCTCTTTTGAGTTTGCCTCCACTCTACTCTCCATCAGATCAAGTGGGGAAGGTGGCTGTTCCTCATCAGAGGGATTTGCTGTCTCTCATCACCACTGCCTGATCCTCCCCCATGTCTGTGAGGGCAGGCAGCTCCTGTTCGGTTAACCTACTTCCCCTAATGCCTGGGTGGCCCTGGGACAGCATCGTCCTCAGCCTGTGGCCTCTCCAAACATTCCAGAGAAATGCCATCCCCATCAGATAGTCCCAGTTCCAACTTCTCCTCCTCCTCTGAACTGGGATCCAATGGGGACAGTGACAGTGGTAGGTGAGGAACAGCTTTTCCTGGAAGGGGTGAGGGTTTCATCTAAAGCAGGCTACATTAGACTATCACTGAACCATCCCATTGACCTCCTGTCCCTGTTCTCTATGGTTGTATACTAAATTATTCAGCCAAGAAAGACAAACTGAGTCCCTATGTTCTTAATTTCTAAGCTTATAATAAAGAGAAGGTTTAACCATGTTCTGCTAGAGCAGTGGTGGGTTGCAGGCGGTATGCCCGGTATGGGCGGGTGTACCGGAGTCTGCCCGGAACACCGGATAGCGTTCCGGTACGGTGCTCCGGAGGGCCCACCCGCCCGCCCGAGCTCCTTACCTGTCTTTCAAGGTTTCTGCACTTCTGCGCCTGCGCGGGATGCGTACAATGCCTGCGCGATGCTCTGCTGAGCAGCTGGAGCGTCACAGAGGCTTGCGGAGGCAGTAAGATACATGTGTGTGCTGTGTGCATCCATATGGATGCCACCAGGCCCGTTCCAACTGTACCGATTAGAAAGGGATCCGGAACCCGCCAATGTGCTAGAGGACACTTCAATTGCCATCTAGAGTCCATGCTATAGTTTAGGCCTATACTGAGAATCAAAGATTAAACCCCTGAACCTCAAATCCGTCTTCATATTTGAGCTGAGTTCTGACCCTTGACCACTATGTGCTTATACTGTAATTTATGACAAAACATCTCTGCCAAACATCATCTGTAATTCTGGCCCCAAAAGTACCAGGGGCCAGAATCATAGAGGGCTCCAAACAAACCAGGCCATTTCCCCTCCAAGATCAGTGAGTAACCAGCTTTTATCTTTATTTGGACCAGGCAACAGTAGAAATTGATGAAACTGCAACTCAGTTGCAGTTTGAGTTTTGCAACTGAGTTTTGCAACTGAGTTTTGCAACTCAGATGGCAAGCTGCATAAGGCAAAAAATAAATAAAAAATCCTGATTGGGAGTTGCTGTGCTTAATTTTCAGTGATTAAGCTGTCTGTATTCTCAAGCACATTCCTTCTCCAATAAAAGGTTTTGCGCATGTGGTTTTTAAAGGTATACTTTTTTTTTTACCTCCAGGTTTTGCCTGATGGACAGATGATAAGTGAGAAAGGCCTGTCAAAACCACTTTTAGTGGCAGCTCTTTTTGGAAGATGGTATGAAAAAGACTCTCCACACCCTACCTCCACCACACCATGAACCAGGCCTTTACTTTCATGTGATCAATATTATTCTGTGGTTTGAAAATATTAACCCTAGCATAGAAATTATGTCTATTTTCTAACAATTCTGGTAGCTAAACAAAATAACATTCTTTCTCAGAGAGTCAAGGCCACCGTGTCCTGCAGCTGTTTTGAGGTGACTGGGAGGCATCTCCAGTTTTGGATGGTGCTTGATTGGATCAGGTGATGGACATGTGGGTGCTGGGCAGGGATTTGAACTTTCTTTTGGGTGGGGAAAACCTGGAAACTTTCAGATTCAGGATTTCCCAGATGCGCCAATATGAGATCTCTAATAAAATGGAACTTTGAGGAAATCCAAGCTTCGGAGTCTTCTTTCATTGGGGGTGTTATTTGGAACCCTGACAAA